TTCTCTTCTACCAGACAGTCCTTCAATTATGAAGACAGTTATGATGTCCCTCTTTCACCCAAAGCTCTTTCCCAGTTAAATATCTCATTCATTCAGCCATTTCTCATAATACATGATTTATAGACACTTCACTTTCCTGATTGCCTTGTTTGAATATACTCCAGTTTGTTAATGTCCTCTTAAATGTAGCATCCAGAATTAAATGTAAAACTCTATGGGCTGGCCAACAGAGACCCAAGTGGAACTGAAAGATCCTCTGATCTGGTCACTACCATTCTCTTAGTGCAACTCAAGAATCATTAGTATTTTTTGGCATTTCCAACCCACAGTGAACTAGGACACGTAGTTCTAGTTCTCTTTTTCACACATGCTACCATTAAGCTCTATCTCATCCTTAAATGTCTTGCACTAAATAGGGCATTAGAACCTTTTATTGCAGTGCTTCCCATTTTATAAGCCTGGGTTTATTCTGGACTTTAGCACTTATGAGTCAATTCCCAGAGGTATGTGATATTCTTTGGGCTTTGTCATTGGAGGCATAGTCCTCCTTCTGTCATCTATACATGTACTTTTAAGATGTGAGCTCATCAGAGAATAATCTATAAGGACACTGTAGTTTATTAGAAATCTCTCCCTTTTTATCATTGGGACTTTTCCAAATTCTACAGTTCTGAATTTTCAACTGGATCCTTCCTCTCCCTCTTGAGCTATCTTTCTCTTTTGGTGTTAGGCCAGGAGATCATACTTATCTTTTTTCTGATCCTTTTGAAGTCTACCTTACATACACACATACATACACCGCCCCTCCCTCCCCGCCCACACACACAGGTTAATTAACCTATGTGACCATGCCCAACATTTTTTTTTTTTTTTTTTTTTAGTTTTTTTGCTTAACAGATATCCAGATGACAGGATCACTTTCCCCAAGATTCTTGTCACTTTCACTTTGCTAACCAGATCTTCCTTGTTTATTATCAGGATTAAACCCAGCTTAGCAATTTACCTCATTGCTTCTTCATTCTTTTGAGAACTATAATTACACTGTATTAGCAAGAGAGCCAAGAATCTATCAGATGTTTTCTTAACTTTAAGACGGTCTTAAAAATAAGAAAAAAGAATGTATCAGCTATGTTGCTATCAGAATAATGGAACTTCCAGGTGTTCAGAATTGGATTAGAATTGGAAAGGGTGTAGAACTCTCTTCTGGACCAAATTCCTAGTAATTCTCAAGGAAAAACAAGGAAAAGAGTCAGGAATGACACTTTTAAGGCCTTTAAGATGTTCAGATATTCCCAAAATGCAGATTATTCTATGTTCTATGTCTCTAATCACTCTTTCTCATCTATGTGACAGTTTTATGAAGTACCATTCATACTTTTATTTTACTTTTTATTTTATTTCTTTTTGAGATGGAGTCTTGCTCTGTCACCCAAGCTGAAGTGCAATGGCACAATCTTGGCTCACTGCAACCTCCGCCTCCCGGGTTCAAGCGATTCTTCTGCCTCTGCCTCCCAAGTAGCTGGGATTACAGGCGCGAGCCATCACACCAGCTGATTTTTGTATTTTTAGTAGGGACGGGGTTTCACCATGTTGGCCTGACTGGTCTCGAACTCCTGGCCTCAGGTGATCCACCCCCCCGCCCACCTTGGCCTCTCAAAGTGCTGGGATTACAGGCATGAACCACCGTGCCTGGCCCCATTCATACTTTCAATCTGAGCAGTCTCTTGTATACTTCTACAACTATAATCACTTTCATTTCTCCCTTTCATTCTCACTGAATGCTTTCACCCTCCAGCCAATGAATTATTGGTTATACCTTCTTGACATATTACTGCTCTCCTCTTCTTCTATGGGTATTTCTCTGAACCAAGTTTTCCAGATGCCAGCCAGAAGTTCCTACCAAGTTTTAATAATACCTATAAAATTGCATTTTTCTGAGTGTATTAAAATTTTACATTCCATTTATTACCCATATTCTGGGTGTCGGTACATAGATATCTGAGGCCTTAAAAGTGTCATTTCTGACTCTCTTCCTTGTTTTTCCTTGAGAATTGCTAGGCATTACCTTAGCTTTAGTTCCTCTTTATTAGACTTGTATTTCACATAGCTCCCAGAAACGCAATAATTGCTAACACAGCACTATGTCTCAATGAAGGAATTCGTTTTGATTAACTGACCAGCCATATATCATTATCAATATCATCATCATCATTATTATCATTAATATTCTTCTCGGCTGGGTGCAGTGGCTCATACCTGTAATCCCAGTAGTTTGGAGGGCCAAGGCAGGAGGATCACTTGAGACTAGGAGTTCAAGGCTGCAGTGAGCTATGATTGTGCCACTGCACTCCAGACTGGGTGACAGAGTGAGACTCTATTCTCTATTTTCCTGGATGCTTGCTCCTGGTTTCTTCTTCCTTCTTTTTTCTTTAAAAATTTTTTAAACTTTCAGACTTGTCAAAATGTTGCAAAAATAGTACAAAAATGTCCATATATCCTTTATTGAACTTCTCTAAATGTTAACATCTTACATGGCCACCATAACCAAAAATAGTATTGGTAATCTACAGATATTCAAACTTCACCAATATAACCAAAGTCCTTTTTCTGGTCCAGGAGCCAGTTGAAGATCACATATTGCATTCAATTGTCAAGTCCCTTTAGTCTCCTTTAATCTGTGACCATTCCTTAGTCTTTGTCTTTCATGACCTTAAGACTTTCAAGAATATCTGACTCCTTAAAGTATACGTGGTGATAGGCAACTAGGGAAGCTCCAGCTCACCACAGATTTAGCAAAATACCAAGTGATGGCATGAAGTTGCTTTTAAATGACCCATCTTGTATTTCATCATCAATAGAACCACACTTAGTTACCCGAAGACTGAGAAGGGGAAAATTGTATGTAACTATTTGATCATCTTTTTTTGTGGAGAGAAAAAAACTGACAAAACAATAAGTTCTGAAACAGAATACAGTAGAGGCATCATGCTCAAAGAGAGTAGCAGATATGGCCAGGGAAAGGTCACATGTAGAAAAGGGACACACGAGTGATGGCGAGGTATATCGAGAAATAATTAACAGTTGAATAAAAATGCATTAATCAGAATGTCAAGTTCAAACTAGAAAGATTTTGAATTTTGGCCAGGTGCGGTGGCTCACACCTGTGATCCCAGCACTTTGACAGGCCGAGGCAAAAGGATCACGAGGTCAGGAGTTCAAGACCAGCCTGATCAACACAGTGAAACCTCATCTCTACTAAAAGTACAAAAATTAGCCGGGCGTGGTGGTGCACACCTCTAATCCCAGTTAGGAGGCTGAGGCAGAAGAATCACTTGAACCCAGGAGGCAGAGGTTGCAGTGAGCCAAGATTGTGTCACTGCACTCCAGCCTGGGCAACAGAGCGAGACTCCGTCTCAAAAAAAAAAGGTTTTGAATTTTATTTTTAAATGCATTATAAATAAAATCCACCTCTCTCCAAATAAAGTCCTCTGTAGAATTTTGCTTTAGCTCTTGCTTCTCTCACCAGAACAGAGAAGTGAGTATCACCTTCGGAGGATATACTCTACCATTCTCTCAAACTGTACAGCAAGGTCATTTTTGTATCCAGCTACCTCACCGTTATAATCAGCTGAGAAACACTAGGGCCTTTCACTAACAGGTCGAAGATTTCTCCCAGGATCAACAAAATTAGATTAAAAAACTGCACCTTTGAACACATGCAGTTTGCGTGCATCAGTTTGGATCGCTGGGGTTCTTGGGGAGACTAACAAATGGCAAAGTGTACTTTCAGAGGAAGGGTCTAACCATCCTGGAGGGTCCTAGAATTGGGTCCTTCCACAGGCAGATCTGGAGAAGATGGGAGAGGGCAGGAAAGGAAAGTGAAGGATATGAACACTATGTCTTCTGTGTGCAAAGGCCTGCTGGCATTTTGCCTTTGGGAATTCTGAAGTCTGGGCACATAAAGTTCAGCCGCAGTTGCAGCTTTCCACAGTTATCCTTATTTTTATAAACATTGCTATGATTATTCACACACGGAATTTGTGATTACACTATCTGCTCCTGTTCTGAAACTGAGGGAGTACACTTAAGCTAACAAGTAGTTTTTGAGGACATGTGTGGCAAATTCTTATCCAGTGCAGGGATTAAGGGGCTCAGTAAGCACTTTGTCCATTGACACAATGGCTGCCTATCTAATTCTATTGATTCCTCTAAATGTTTCTGGAGTTCAGAAATCTATTCGATCCAAGGGCACTTTACCTGGAGTCCTGGGAGCCAAATGTCAACGTAGTTCTTAACCTGAGCCTCTCAGCCTTCTGGGTACAACCTCTGTATTTGCCTTCTGACTAAAAATCACTTCCCCACCCCCAGCCCAGTCCTTTGGACTCTCCTAAGCCAATTCCCGGCAAGATCTTTGTTAAACTGTATTTGCAAACCAGGGTCTGGGGCACGGTGGCAGTTCCTGCGTCTGCTGTTCCCTTAATTTTGTCTGGTTTCACTGGCTCCAGGACAGTGCCTGGTCTAGGGCGGGAAGAGTGAGGCACTCGCCTTGGTGAGAAACAACTCAGTAATTAAGACAAATTATTTTTAATGCACTATTTTTAAAAATCAAAAGCAATGCAAAAACCATGAACAAATGATCAACATTTGAAATACAGACAGGATCCCAACCTGCACTTACATGACCTGGTCTCTCTTACCTCACCCTAATCCCAGCCTTGACATTCCAATTAAACTTTATTTACAAAACAAGGGGTCCGGCCAGCAGGATAGTTTGCCAATACGACTTTTTTAAAGTATCGCATTAACTAATGTTTATCTCGATGACTGAAGGATTTTTTTTTTGGCATCCCTGTAACAAATGCGTCTCACCCTAGTCCTGGTCCTTCTCCAAGGGTTTCTGTCCAGGCACACGGTGACCTCACCCTTCCTCCCCACTCCGAGGCTTCTCTCAGGGTCCAGCGTTCAAGTCCCGGGTGTTCTCTGGACCCGCCCCTTCCACCCGCCCAGTCTGGTGCCAAGGGCGAGCCGGGGCGGCGCGCACGGCGGCCCTGGCCCGCCCTCCACGACTCCTCCCCCTGCGCGCTGGGCCACTCAGCGGCTCTGCCGCCCAGCGCGCCAGGGCCCAGCCACCGCCCCGGCCCCGCCTCCGACGCCTGCCGCTCCGGCGCCGGCTCCCCCTATATAAATCGGCCATTTGCGTCGCTCCGCCCCGCAGCCCCGGAGTCAAAGCCGGTTCCCGGCTCAGTCCCGTCCTGCAGCAGCCTGCCTCGTCTTTTCTTTCAACATGACAGATGCCGCTGTGTCCTTCGCCAAGGACTTCCTGGCAGGTGGAGTGGCCGCAGCCATCTCCAAGACTGCGGTAGCGCCTATCGAGCGGGTCAAGCTGCTGCTGCAGGTACAGCCTGGGATCCAGGAGCCCAACCAGGAAGTGGGGGGAAGGGTCGCACAGGAGGCGGGCGCCCAAAAGGTGGCGGGGAGCGAACTCTAAAGACAGGCCCTGGCGAGGAGAGGCCAGAGGCGGAGCAGAAGGCAAACTGGTGGGAGACTCCTTTAGTGACCTGAAGTTTTGAGTCTAGGAAGGGGCCGGGGGCGGAGAGGAGGACCAGGAGCTAGGCATCCCCGAGGCGCCGGACTAGGATGGAGCAGTCCCGTAGAGACTGTCTCCCCGGGCCTGGACATCTAGGACGAAGGCCGAAAGCCGGCGTTAGATAGGAACCCTACTCCTTACCGAAGACCTCAAGGTCGCGACAAGGAGATAACTGCCCGGGTGAGGCCATGCGCCCGGGTCCAGCGGCCGCCCAGCCCGCAGACGCGCTCAAACCTCGCCGGGCCGGAAGCCGGCGCCGGGAAGCGCGTGTGCCTTTTACGTCCGCCCCCGCGCAGCCGCGGCCGCCCGGGCCCCTCTGCCTGCCTCCCTGCGCCGCGCGCTCTCCAGTGCCGGCTCTAGAGGGCGCGCCCTGACGAACATGTAGGGGTGGCGGCGGCGGCGGCGCTCGGGTCACCTCTGGGAGCGGAGTGGGGGCGGAGCGGGACGGAAGCAGCTTTGGAGACCTGAGGTGGAGGCTGCAGTCACCAAGGTGACCGCGCCCTACATGGGACTCGCCCTAATGCCTCTGAACCTGGGTTTGAGGTAGTGACCTTTCTCCCAGGTCTAAAGGTCATGGGTCCTCTGGAGGATGCCCCCTCCCCACCCAGAGGAGTGGAAGCTTAATGCCTCTGGTGCACATCACCTCTTCCCCTGTGACAGGCTCAGGGGGCTGGGAGGGTCCAGGCAGTATGATATAGGAAGACTAGATTTGGGGAAAGGGGAGCCAGCCTTAAAGGGCATTGATTGAGATGGCATATGCTCTTCCCTTTCCCTTCCCCATGGTTATAACTGCCCCTATTGGCTTCCTTCCTAGGTACAGCATGCCAGCAAGCAGATCACCGCAGATAAGCAATACAAGGGCATTATAGACTGCGTGGTCCGTATTCCCAAGGAACAGGGAGTCCTGTCCTTCTGGCGCGGTAACCTGGCCAATGTCATCAGATACTTCCCCACCCAGGCTCTTAACTTCGCCTTCAAAGATAAATACAAGCAGATCTTCCTGGGTGGTGTGGACAAGAGGACCCAGTTTTGGCGCTACTTTGCAGGGAATCTGGCATCAGGCGGTGCTGCTGGGGCCACATCCTTGTGTTTTGTGTACCCTCTTGATTTTGCCCGTACCCGTCTAGCAGCAGATGTGGGTAAAGCTGGAGCTGAAAGGGAATTCCGAGGCCTCGGCGACTGCCTGGTTAAGATCTACAAATCTGATGGGATTAAGGGCCTGTATCAAGGCTTTAACGTGTCTGTGCAGGGTATTATCATCTACCGAGCTGCCTACTTCGGTATCTATGACACTGCAAAGGGTAAGTTTGCTGTGGGCTTTGAAGTTGTGATCATAGCAGACAATTTAAAAGAGCATTGTACCAACCTAACATTCCAAGAGCCAGAGAGTTGTTTTTTGTCATTGCTGTAGGAAGCCGAGATCATCCAATGCAACCCTCGTGTATAAATGACATGTTTAGGGGATGTGGGGAAAGGAATTCAGTAAAATTCTGCTTTTTGGTAAAAGTGTCTCTTTCCTATTTCCAGGAATGCTTCCGGATCCCAAGAACACTCACATCGTTATCAGCTGGATGATTGCACAGACTGTCACTGCTGTTGCTGGGTTGACTTCCTATCCATTTGACACTGTTCGCCGCCGCATGATGATGCAGTCGGGGCGCAAAGGAAGTAAGTTTCACTTGAGCAGAAGATAAAGTCATAGGCGTGGGGCAAGCTGTGGCCACAAACTAGTGAGGCCCACCTTTAAAAATGGCTATCTGCCTGAGCAATGTGGTGAAACCCTGTCTCTACTAAAAATACAAAAAAAAAAAAAAAAAAAAAATTTTGATGGGATGGCAGCATGCACCTGTAATCCCAGCTACTCAGGAGGCTGAGGAAGGAGAATTGCTTGAACCCAGGAGGTGGAGGTTGTAGTGAGCCAAGATGGGGCCACTGAACTCCAGCCTGGACGACAGAGTAAGACTCTGTCTCCAAAAAGGAAAAAAAAATTTGCTGTCTGTCCAAGTCAAGGGATGGGGTTGATAGCATCGGGCTCTTCAGATGCCTATGAATGAAGGTGCTTAAATGGTATTAGAGGTTAAGCCCAATGGGTAGTCTACATATCATATTCCTGCTGTTTTCTCTAGTCACAGCATTAATATTTCAGTGTTGCCCATGCTAATGTGTGAATGTTGGGTTTAAAGCTGACGTTAGTCCTTAGAGAGGTGGGGCTCTTTTATTTAGCCTAGTGAATCTAGGATTTTTCATCAGCCTTCACTGACTAACTCCACGTCTTTATTCTTTGCAGCTGACATCATGTACACAGGCACACTTGACTGCTGGAGGAAGATTGCTCGTGATGAAGGAGGCAAAGCTTTCTTCAAGGGTGCATGGTCCAATGTTCTCAGAGGCATGGGTGGTGCTTTTGTACTTGTCTTGTATGATGAAATCAAGAAATACACATAAGTTATTTTCTGGGAATTTTCCCCCTGTGAACAGGCATGTTGTATTATATAATGTATCTTGAGCATTCTCGGCAGACTCCTGGCTGTCAGTTTATCTGTGGCAACTATTTACTGGTTGAAAATGGGAAGCAATAATATTCATCTGACCAGTTTTCTCTTAAAGCCATTTCCATGATGATGATGGGACTCAATTATATTTTTTATTTCAGTCACTCCTGATAAATAACAAATTTGGAGAAATAAAAATATCTAAAATAAATTTTGTTTGCAGTTTATTTTCATATTAAAACATACTTTATATTTGATTGCTACGTTTGAATACTACCTTTTTAGTGAATACTACATTTTTAATAATGCTACAGTATCTCCGGAGATGAAGAACGGTCTTTGTAAAACCAGTTGTCAGCCATCCACTTACCAAAGAATAAGTTGGTTGTGCCACCCACCAACATTCCCAACACATTAGCAAAGGAATTCAGGCCCAATGCATCCAAAAAACGTTGTTCATTGCCTATGGACGGTCATAGCCGAATGAGCTTTCTCTTAATAAATACTATGAACCCACCTTTCTTAGTCCTATGGTTATTAATCAAAGACCACAAGCTGAGTTGTTCACATTAAAATGGTTACGTTTGTGTGAATACCACCTTATTTCAAAAAAAATTATTACCCATTTCATCCAGTTTCCTTCATTTTCACCTGGCTCGCTTTTTTTTTTTTTTTTTTTTTTTTTTTTTTTTTTTTTTTTTT